GACAGTGTAGGGCAAACAGTCCACGCCCCTTCGAAGGTTGTTTGTTTTCAACCCCTCGAAGGGGCGTGACTATGAAAGCAGCCATTTTGATGATTGGAGCGCCCGATTCGTGCGCTGCGCTCCTTATCTCGACAACGTCTCACATCTTCATTTCGGCAATCACTAGGTCTCGGGACCGGACCCACTTGATAGGGGTTACTTATGCTGCTGCTTCCAAGTAATAACGTCTGCTTCATAACTCTACCAACTCTTTCAAATACGATTTGATTTATCAGAAATCTGTTTTCGATAAACTTGAAGCAACAATAATCTGTACAAAAACTGAAGATATGAGCAAAAAATACACGGGGTGACTTATAAAGCTAACAAATGTTGCCTTAACCGAGATACGTAGACATGGTACTTCTAACGAAATCACAATTAGAACAAGGCCAGCTAGGCCGAACCACTCGACCTCGCATCAACCTTACAATTATCAAAAACATATTTGTGACTTGGGCGGGGCTACATGACTGCAGCGTCCAGCGCCTATAGATCACCCTCTGCACTGAATGGGTAGTAGCTATCCGAGAAGACTGGAAATTAATATGATTACATACGCGGAGAGTCAAAGTGATTCACTCATAACAGAATGAGAATCTAGAAAGCAGAACGATCAAGTGATTGTCGGGCAAAGGATATGAAGCTACATGAGGCGTGGCAGTTGCACGCGCACACCGCCAAGCTGCTACTACACGAAAGCTCAAAAAGGCGACAACATGAAAAGGAGGAAATGTAAGGAACATGACTCAAATCTGTCAATGGGGCAAAATAGGCAAGAGTAACAAACTAAGAAGTAAAAGCATCAAATCGCGGTCAATGCGAAAATAAATCGGCACCAGAAATGAAGCACCATAACGACCCGAAGGTCGGACCAGGGAAGACCAGCACTTCTGACTTAGAAGGGTAGTGGAGGCTGTAAAGGTAGGCTCACAATGGGTCACTGCACGAAGCGACGATGTCGAAAGGAAAATAAACCCGTTCCGCGGTTGGCATCCGCTTTACCAACGTTACGTCGCTCCGAGCTGCGATGACATGTGAGCTCAGTCGCAGAAGATTGCACTTGGCGACTGATTTTGAATGTACTACATTCAAGGAACGATAGCACCCAAAACATGCCAATCTCTACTTTCCACAAGTGCGCCCGCAGAAACCATAAACGAAGATCTACGAAAAATGCTTCAAAATAATGTATAAATAGGCTTAGTCTTAGGAACATAGCAATATCAAAGCAGTGAATACCTAAGGAACATGTTGGACCACTTCTTCAATTCTACTGGTTGCGAGCAACGAAGTGATGTGGATCAATGGAAGACAGCTCACAGTTCCGAGAACAACTTCACACGTGTTCCTATCCTTTTAGATCAGACCTCACAAAATGAGCGCAGACTTCCTTCAGCTTTCAGAGAATCAGCACGCTCTGACTAAAAAGCAGCAGGAGGAACAGGGCCAGCCTTATCGTCTAATTGCATCGCATTGTTGATGATATCACTAACGACTGCCATTAATCTAGTGTAGACGTTGTCTGCTTCCGCGGGATCTGCCACTCCCAAGAGCGACAATTGGCAGGCTGCCTTAAAAGGAAACAATAATGCATGAAGAGAGCAAACGGAATTCTCAGAAAGATTTATGGTCACCTGTTCGACTTCGTAACAAATATCTGTTGCTTGTGAGATGAAGGTCTGTAATGGTGCATCGAAATGCCGATTAGGCTGAGTGGCTCCGTGAATCCTCTGGAAATACTCTACTATATAAATTTTTTGTGAATCTTCTTCCCGAACGCGACACAACGAAAACAGCCTGAGCTATTTTTGCTTCCAATTCTTCTTTTAGGGACTTTTTTGGATAACCTATACATACTTCATATCTCCCAGAAGGATTGCCTATTTTCAGTTTGTAAGCTTGCTCTCTCCAGTAAAACACAGGTAGGCCGTCTTAAGCCATATCTTGAGAACCTGCGCATGGCATTCGATTTATTACCGAATGAGCGAACTCCAGCTGACTGACAAATAAAATTAATTGAAAGACATCTGACGCTTACCCGCGAGATCTCTCTTTTCAGTGGAGTCGTGGTAGCGGAAAACACTAAACCAATCATTCCCAAAGTTTCATTGATATGATTGAGTACCTAAACAAGACTCTTACTTCTCAGCACCACCTCAAGACTTCATNAAAAAAAAGCTAAACGCATTGGAAGAAAAGGGATGAACCAAATCAGCAGGATCATTTGTTCCGAGCTTTAAAGTAAAAGAAAGAGTAGCGACAACCTTTTCAACGTCTTTATATCCCGCTTGTGCCCAGACAGCAAGTTGGTGGATTGCAATTTCAATTGTGCCCATCGAATCAGTCAGTAATCGGGCAATATCATCACGTGGTGAAGTGCGATCAACGAGGAATTGAACAATCGTTGCAAAGATCCACTATAGAAATCATATAAAGACTTTTATGTGAGAAAGTATGTCATAGAACTAACAATTAAGCACGGATGGCAACAACTCACCAAAACAGGGATGATACTTATTCCACGCATGATGTAACTTGGTATAATGTAGTCGGCATGCTCCTGGAAATTAGGCCCCTGAAACCCAAAATGAAAGAAATATCATTCGAAAACAACCAGAAGAGAATGAGATTTTTCACAAATAACAGTGCCGCTAATTAGTTCTCGAGCTGAGGAAACCACTTTCAAAATGCACCTGAATGTTCCCAACTTCCGCGTAAACCCGTGCATACAAGTGTGCTACAGCTCTGACCATTCTCAACATTCTTATATTCATCTCCACGGCCTTAGCCGAACTGAAAAGGCGAAATTAAAATCGGTGAAAGTTCACATGCACAATGAAATTGGAAGATTTTAAATATTTGGGNATTAAACAATCCTATTAACAAAAATGTCGACATTCATCTAGGCCGAACTGACACAAGCAAACTATAGAAAAGAAACTGCTCTCGAAAAAGCTTCTCCACTTAAATGTGCGTCACCCAACCATGACGGTTCAACTTCTGTCGAAGTCAATGAAACGAATTATCAGACTTAACAGTAATAATTACAAGCAGGTAAGAGCTCTCTCTGACGATTGGAGGAATAGCAAAGACAGTACAGCGGCTAGCAATTTCTCCAGAGTTTCGTATACCACTGAATTGCGTTATCCTCTAATTTACCCTGTGGATGGAATTGGTGCAGTGCCACGTGGCGTCCATGGTCCGGGGATCAAACTTCATGAATTTGTCTGAGCCAATCAAATTTTTCATCTCTCTGGCATCATTTGAGTGGTAGCGGACTCGTCTAATGGTGGGGGTATAGAAGCATTGACTTGCTCACAGACTGGCCAAGTTGTTGTATGGGCCGCATAGGTATTCACCCACTATCAAGATTTGAATGGAACTTTACTTCAAACCCAAATGAGATCGGCAACTATGCTCAGGACGACTGTTCACTAATGCGCTTGTGAAAATTCCTTATTTATTATAAGTACTTCGTTTTGTGTGAAAAACAAGTGATTTCCATGCCGTTTTCGAGAATGGGAGAAAGGCGAAGAACTCACAGTCGTGGCAAATTCGCTGCATTGCTATGATTCATATCGTTGGCAACTTGACGAACGACACTCCATAAAGTTTTCACCAAGTCATACAAATGAGAAGCGCGCTGAATGATATAAGTGGGAATAGACTCCCTACACACTTACATGTGAACTGGTTGAGATGAGCCTCACCTGGAACAGAACAACATAATGGTCGGCATACGGCACTGACATAAACTCATCGTACTCTTCACGTGCGCATCTCAGTATTCCTCTGAATCAAATATCTCACTTCAAACTTTTTCAATAACTGCATGATACACAGAAAAAGCCGTTGCATACTACATTCCGAACAATGCGCTTACTCGGATTCAGCATTGAGTAGAGCACGCACGATGGCAAAGCGCATTGTCTTTGCAGGAGCACGAAAGCCCATTGTGTACCAAATGTCCGGCAGACAACGTAATGGCCGGGATCGTTCGGAACAGGAAATGTTGTCAGTCTCGTCATAAAAACAGCTGATCACCTAAAGTTATGCTCAATAGTTCTCCGGTAAAAGCTTTAGATGAGGTATGATTTGATACCTTATTATAGATTTCTCTTACGTCTACCACTCCGCTCACCTCTGCTCTCCGCACGTATCTGTAAAAGGGTTATTTGGAAGTAAGAACTGTATACAAGTAACTGACAACTTACGCGATTAACATTGGTTTTAGGACGTTTCTATACATTAATTTAGATTGATTATCAATCACACTGTCAGGAGTGACAGAAGGTGGATAAGTTCCAGAATTGAAGTCCATAAGTGAAAATAGCTGAATGGACGATAAACTATGCATACCAAGACCACATAATTTGGAAAAAAAGGTGTACGACACAACAAAGTACCTTTAGCTTTTCTTGTTCAAACATTGCTTCAGTAAACAGAGGATCGCAGTAATCCGCCAAGGGTACAGCTAAGTTTTCCGGATCTGATAATGCCTGGAAGAGCACTGTATTATGAAGGAACTGGGTGGCTTGTAGGTGAAGCTTGATAGACAGATGGCGAAAAGTTTTTGTGAAAGGGGAAAACCAAGTGTCAGGTACTGAGCTAATTGAGATTGAAATATCAGAATACGGAAGTTGTGAAAAGCATTGAGGAGAAGAATATTGATCATATTGAATTAATGCGACGTTAAGTACGGAAGCCCATAATCAGCGCCTGAAGCAAAATCATGCTCGTTAACCAGGAGCCGAAGCATTTCCATGCAGCAGGGTGCATACCCGACATTTTCGAGGAATGATCACAACAATACTCTAAAACAATGGTATGAACGACTAAGTTTTCCTCTACTGTCTGACCCTTGTTGGCTGTTTGAACCTGAAGAACAAAAGGACAGAATGGGTGGGGGTCGTAACAGGACACTTTTTTAATTAGTGCCTCACTGTCGAGGATGCTCATCAACCCCATTTTGTTCTCACTTGAAGAGCACAAATGGATGAATGTTCATGGTTCTAAAACACCTGCCTTTACAGAACAGCGGTCCTTAGTTATATAGCGCGCACGATTTGGCAAAAGTAGGCGCCATGGTTTGGGTACGCCCGAATGCAAAACATTTTTGGACCGCAAGCGTGCAGCCCCTGCACTGTCGATATCACCCTGAATACGAATAGCAAAGAAACAGCTTCAGAACTACATGCACACAGAACGAGGAATGCTGAAAGAACGATCTGAGAGGTTTCTTGGAATAATTTCTGAGAGGTAGGGAGCGGTACAGGCAAGCGATCATTTGCAAGCAACGACTAAGAGCTCCCCTAAGAAAAGTTGAGATACTCATAGAAACGTATATTACCGAAACCAAGCCCCACCATGAGATTCTTTAACTAGGAAAATTGTGATCTCTAATAAAAGCGGTAGCACTACGAAGAAGTAAGTTTAATTCTATAGAGAAAAAAGATAAGCCTTTCTAAAATCATAAAATATAACGAAGTCACAAACCCTTTCCAACGGAGTACCGCTGAGCAATTCGTCTTCGTTGCCAATGGGAGGGGGAGGCGCACAAATTACTTTTCCACTAGCATCACGAGGAAGCTCGTAATTGTCAGCATTTCCTTTCGAATCTTCATTCTGAGTACAACGATAACGCTCGATTTCTGACTCCAGGGCTGCGTTTTCATGTTCCACTTGCTCTCGGATCTCACTCATTAGGAAGGAAGAAGTTGGGCAGTCGTCTGAGAAGACGTATTCTACGGAGTAAAGCAAGAAGAAGCAGCAAAATAGATAGAAAAACACCCACCAGAAAAAAGCCATGGCTCTGCAGCGGAACTGACATATAGAAGGAAATATGCCGAAGTTGTTCGGATACCCCCGACAGCTTCCGCCTCGATATCGCTCCATGCTGCGCTTTCGACCCGTTGGTCGTTGAACTTCTCCCATTGCGAATCGTCATTTCCTAAGAATGAAATTCTTACCGCTATAACAAGACGACAATCAACACAATCCTACCTTTTCTAACGTAGGCCCAGTAATGACCGGCACTTGCTTGACCTTGATGTATAGCCACGGCGTGAAGCCGGTATCCATGCTGCTTTAGATCTTCCCGGTCATAAATTTCGTCGATAGACTTTATTAACTCTGTTTCGCGATTGCAAAGATCTGCAAAAAAGACAATATTTGCAAACGCAAGAATGAACGATGTTAAATCAAAAAAAAAATCGAAATATCAGCCCACACTACTCTGTATGGCATAAATTTGAAGAATTTAGAATATGAACAGAAAAGAAGGAAGAGAGGAATAATTTGGAAGAAAATTTGGGAATGCGTAATGATCTTGCCTTGATGCTTCGATTGTAGTTCATTTATTGCATTCTCCAGTTCCGGCACAAACGATAAGAGATGTTCTGAGTTTGATACGACAGGGGTAACTAAAGTAATAATTTTGCAAAAAGACAACTTGACAAGAATGACGCTGCCATACCTGCAGATTTATCCTCAACAAATGACTGCAACTTATTGGCGCTAACTGAGCCTGGGGACGATACAACAGCCGTACCATCATCCATTCTTTCACTAGATAAGCTCAAATATTCGTAAGAAGTGAAAGACAAATAGAAGCACAAGAAACCCACGTCTCTGATTTAGTCGCTTTAGCGAACATAAGTGCTGCTCCAAGAATGTTGACGAGTTTCTCTTTACGATCGCCGATGGGGAACTCATTCAAACTGTAATCCAAATGAGATGATACTTTTCAAGCATGATTTTGTAAAACTTACCCCTTAAGCTCAGCACGAACATTAGACAGCTCGTTTCGCAGGTGATTTCGTGTCTCTCGTATACTACTGACATAGTCGTAGTTACTGCAAAACGCCAATCATTTTTATATCATTCTGTTCTGTGTAATACATAAGCCAAATAACTAATGAGTTCCGATCAAAATTGGTAAATCCCCAACTGAGTTGAAAACGAATAGGTATATAAATATCGGGGGTAGATGGCATAGGGAAATAGGGAGGGGTTTGGGTCAACAAAGGACAAAGGTCACAAGGTAGTGCGAAGAAAGCTGTCGATTCTGATGAGAAAGTTGTCCCTTTTGAAGGAATAGTCTTAAATTATTTTTTTTTCAAATGAAACGTTTTCTGATGAGCGAGAAGACCGAATAACTCAGAGATAGGGGAATAACTGAATGAACGCAATTCCTTAGCTTTGCGATTTCAATTGATAGTGATTATCATTTTTTGTGGTGGTGCAACAGCGGGCGGATCCCTTTATGGAATTAGAACTTAGGTTGCCACCCACATAGTGAATACCGTCAGAATATGTTCGGTTAAGCACATGGCAGCCAAACTAATTGACTGATCAGAAACAGAGGAAAAAGCTTCAAACCAAGCCTGTCGGTCTAGGGTCCAATCAGCCGCTACTTACCACCCCAATTGCTAACAATGCGCAGCAGTCGCTCCAATCAACTAGCTGACATTTACCGTGTATGCGCAGCAGAAGGAGAAAGGACATGCTCCTATTACTTCCTTACAATAAATTTCGCAGATTTCGGATAAGCTTCGGGAATAGGAGGGTAAGCATTGAATTTGAACTGCTAAAGCGACACATCATGCTTTCCCGTTAGCTTCATTCAAACTTCCGCAGTAAACCAATTGAATGGATATCTTATTTGTCAATTCGTAATCCAAAAAAAGCATACTCGAAACGAAGCTCTTTATGGGAACTAGGTTAACTCGATTTCTCATCCCCTTTTCACGAGCACATTTACTTCTCATCATTCTAATTCAATAGAACTTCGATTTCACCTCCTTTTAANTAACATTCCAATCACTCACCTCGCCATATAACGATCCATGTAAATCGTACGAGGAAAGTGGAAACGCATGTTGAGCTTTTCCGTTTCTCCTTTTGTACCATTGAAAAAGTAACGGCCCAATGAGAAAATCAAGACAGCTGGTAAAGTTTCGAACCATGGCTGCAAAACGTGACTTGTCGAAAATATTGAAATTAGAGTGATTCCGCTTATCATGTAATTAATTTTTCAAAGAAGTGAGAGTTGATTCAAAATGTGCATCATGTGTTGCGAATTACACTGCGAAAAATGATTTCAAAGATAAAGGGTTCAAAACACACCTCTTTTCCAGAATCATTCAGAAATTGGTGAGCTTCAAGAGCGTCGTGTAAGTTACCGTGCGAAACGTGAACAGGGAATAACGAGGTGTACTCTAATTTACTCCATGTGTTTACAGTATCTGCAATAGAGCATAACGCAATTTAAGTAGAAAAATCATTTTAATTTGTGGGTAATGCCTACAGCAAGAAAAAACGGTTAAATGCCTAACTTATTTGCTGAAAGCGATAACTCCTCGACTCTCTTCACTTGACGAACTTTTATTTCCTATTACTTCATATTCTAAGAACTAATCTTCTCTCGTCACACCAACACAAGTATGATGCGAAAAGAATCTGCTTTTGATGCCAATCTATTTCGTTCAGTGGTTCATAAGTAATAAGGAGAAGTCTATTAATCGTGAACATTCAACGCGTTCCTTGCAAGAGGACTCAGACTTTCCGTCTCCGATAGTTTTCATAATCTTATGTGATTATTTATTTAATCAACCCCCACCATCTTGAAGCAACGGCCGCCTCTAAAGTAATGAGAGATAGTCAAAGTGAACTTGTGCACAAATCAGGATGAAGCCACACGAGTATGTACATAACTCAGTATGTTGAATGGCCTGCTCATACTATCTCGCTCATCATCACGCCCAGTTTCGACGAAAAAGTAAATGGAACTGCACATCAGCGCATGAGCTGCGTGACATGTCATAAAGATAGTTTCCAAGTCGCGCAATACAACACTCTTTCCGTTTGATGCCTACTTAACTGAGTGTTGCTTCATGGTCTCAAATTATTAAATATTGCTCCGCGATGGTAATGATATTTGTAGCTGATATAGTTCTTTGATTAAAACGCGAACATGCTAAATATGCGCAATGTTGCCTTACTGCGTATCACTCTCAAAAACAAGTAATGGGATCGATGGTTCTACTTACTTACAAAGTATTAGCTCAGGTGAGTAACATAAACGCCTGACACGATGCATCCATGTGCCACGACGTGTAAATTTCACTCAGTCAAGGGTATGTATATGCGACAAATAGCACATTTATGATGTAACAATCAATGGAGATGACAGAAAAGGAAGAAGAAAGAACAACTAACCATTACTTCCACGCTCTGTTTGATATCCATGGAATAAGGCCTTAATGCAATCCATGTGGGACTGTTGAGGAGGCGGTTCAGCAACAGGTTGTTGCGTGTCTACATCTTAAATGTTTTCTTGTTCGTCGATCATGATAAGGTGAAAAAGATGAATTTCAAAATGGTCAAAACACCAGCTGACGCACTCATTTCTTCAGCCTTCATGACAGCAGATTCTGGTTGGGTTGGTGCTGTTGCGTCCGGCAGAGCAGATCCCGCTGCTTCAACAGAAGCCATGGGCGAAATTTCCATTGCCTCCAAACTGCGACTAGTTTCGAGTGGTGGCGACTGCTAAGAAGTTTATTATAGAGCTCTCATTTCCATGATCTAATAACAGCTCAAACTAGAAAAAAAGGCCTCATTTCTTCCCGTGAAGTATCCAGCACCGCTTCATAAAGAGATTGAATATTAAATTTGATCACTGCTGCACAATTACAACTTCTCGGTGGGAACATAACCATCAGCTCTCATACTTTCACCCGCCCGTCAAGCCGATCCAAGGACTGAACTGTGAGGGTAGCAGCTTTTTCCACTTTGATCTCCGTTTTGAACTTTTCCTCATGCGCGCAAAACGCCTTTTTACGAAAAATAAGAGCAAGTCGCGCTTAATTTGAGCCTCGAAAGTCAAGATTGAATACATATGATCGGCCTATGGTCTCGAGGAACATGGGGGCACGTTACTTGGATCTAACGCTTTGATGTTACCCTCGTAGAAATTGTTCCAAAATATTCGAGAAAGCGGAGAGGGAAGAATGAATAGTTAAAATAGTAGCACTAGAATCAACGAAAGTCACCAAATCAGAAAAACACCTCACGCAAAAAATATTCTACGTGCTTCACCACACATCCAACACTTCCCTTGTTTGATCTTCGAAATTCTAATGTGTAGGCGCTTACCTTCACAGCTTCCCCACTTTGTTCCTGTTGTTCCTGATGATCAGTCTGTTCCAATGCCAATCCTTTTTCCATCCATTCCATTAAATTTGACATCATCTCTGATGCGTCCTGAGAAAAGATTCATGCATTAATACTGCAAGAAGGTTCAGTTGCTTTACAGTTTCTCTGCCAAATGTTCACGGATGGATGTGGTTTAGTGGCAAGTAACGCGCTATCACACACGCGTGGTCGCGGGTTCNCAGTCTGTTCCAATGCCAATCCTTTTTCCATCCATTCCATTAAATTTGACATCATCTCTGATGCGTCCTGAGAAAAGAATCATGCATTAATACTACAAGAAGGTTCAGTTGCTTTACAGTTTCTCTGCCGAATGTGGTGTAGTGGCAAGTGGCGCGCTATCACACACGCGTGATCGCGGGTTCGAATACCGGATAGATATCCGCCTGGACCAACCAAGCCTTCCATCCTTCCGGCGTTTGTTAGTTGGCATCAGACTCGTCTGGGAGGATAAAACATTGACTTGTACATCGACTGGCTACCGCAATTCATTGTATAGGCCATGTATACGCATTCATAACGCCGCTACGATTCTGAATGGATGGCGAACGCAGGAGCGCATCCCTCAGACGAGATCGATTGACGCCAGATACACTATCCATTCACATATTATATAAACGGTCTGCCTCCATATGTGCGTTTGTGTACCATTAGACTAGACATTACTCGAAAAAAGGAGCTGGAGAAGAGGTCAAATTACAAGCAGTTTAAATAACAGGGCGTTCATATAAGTGAGAAGCTCTTCTACGGTCACCGCGCGGGCGCCGAACATGAATATTCGCAGCTCGAAAAATCACTAATCAACTTCAACACAGTAAGGGGAAAATGGGGGAAGGGAAATCCACAATGCGAGTAGCAAGTAAAGTTACACCGACTGTATGCGAAGCATGCCTAAATGTTCGCGAGCTCCTAGTCTGATTCAGAGAATTCTGAGAAAAAAGTTAATATTACCGAACATTGCTTGGAACGTGTTTTATGTAAATCTGTGTTTTATGTTTTGCTGCTAGCGAAGCATGCGCGTAGGGAAAAGGGGCATTCTTGTTGAAAACTTCAACAAGATTTTGGGTCGGCAAAAAAACTAGAAGTTAGGGATGCGAAACTCAGAAAAAGGGATGTGGAACCTGAGAAAGATTTGTTTAATATGCAACTCAGGAAAATGAAAAATTGTGAGTGGTACAATGATAGGAAAGACCAAGCCTCAAAGAAGTTATGAGTATTGGGTGCTCTTAACGCACCGCGCCTATTATGACGCAGAAAGCTTGCACTGGGTTAGGAGCACCCAATACTGAAAATGGAAAATGCGATTGCCATTCCATTCCGTGTATACACCATAACCATTGAAAAGTCACAGAGACACGAGCTACCGATCGAAATAAACAATTTGTTGTCACTCGTGCTTTAGATGAGATGAGTACACTGACTGTTCGGTATAAGGTAAAGTCGTAAAAAACCGATATGTTGATTAAAATAGACAAAAATAAGTGGGTAAGGAAAAGAACCCATTGAAGTGATCAGCAAAAGCTGAGAAGAACATGATGTGAGCACGCAAACGGTAAATTCACAGAACATGTTTATATTTTTACACTTGTCCGCAATTTCGATAACAGCGCTAGATTAACGTGTTCTGCGTCCTAAATGATCAGTAAGGTATGGCCCTTTTCCTTGAAAGTCTACGCCAGCACAAGTCAGACTAGTAGCGAAGCATGACGATTTTGTTGTAAGGAGTAAAGCACTTTAAACTGTAAGAAGTAGTTGAATCCATCTAGTCCAGGATAACTGATTGCCCTTTGAGAGAAAACGAAAAATGTTCAAAATCAATAGAAAAGTTGATCAAACCTGTTGTCTGCCGAGAATTACGTCACTCTTGCTACGGGCTGCTAAGGCACTAACGACGTTGAGCGCTTCAGAAGGATCGATGTAGCGTCTATTTCCAAGATCCATACTGGCAAACAAATACCGCATTTTTTCCACAAGATCCACCTCCGTGATGTCGTCATTCTAAAATAGACGGCGCCTCAATTAAAATCAAAAGCAAAGAACGCCGTTGACGAAAGCGGACGGTAGTTTGGTCTTCAAGCACCGTTGAACTCACCTGATCGGAACCCTCAGCAGTTAAATCTGGCTGCTTTGGAGCGTACTCGTATACGACACGACGGAAACGAGGAAGGTGAAATAACAGCTGAGCCACAACATTGAACCAGCAGGTATTACCCGTGTTGTGGAGACCAACCTTAACAGGAGTTATCTTGTGGCCGGAACAACAAAATAAAGTTATGGTTTCTTCCCCTCCTCAGTAGATTTTTCCTTTTGTAACACACATTAGATTATTCTTGTAGTCACTGTGCACTAGTGAGAAACGATGTAAAACGAATGCATATTACCGAAACTCCTTCCTTCCTCAACATGTCCTCAGGATTTGATGGTAAGGATGACACATAGGATCGATTTCCCGGAGGTCCTTGCGATATTAATGATTCAGCTATAGCCCTGAAACAAAAACGTCACTCTTCCAGAAATACCTGAATGAAATCGACACACAAACTTCTCGATATCACTTTGCTCTCGTTCTGCTGCTGAAGTGAGAGCGGGCATCGGAGTGGCTGTGGTTGCAGTTGGACCGCTGCAAGATACAGGAACCACGTTCAAAGAACCGCTCTGTTGTTGAATTTCTGCTGCAGCTTCCTCGATGGTTTGCATTGGGCGGTTAGCGCATCCTATGGCCTGCAAAAAATAACGTCTATGATCGGCATAGAACAAATTATAGTTTTAGAACCGACGTGACGCAGCAAAATCGATAATGGAAGGGACTAGAAAAGGAACCTCTTTGCAAAGAAGCAGTGGATCGTTATGATCAGTGAACCCCTTCTTTGCCCTATTCACGCTCCTAAAAGTGATTCTTCAAGTACCGATTGCGGTGCAGATTGGAACAAGCAATGTGGAACCTCTATGACTCCAACCCGAACAAGGGACATTGGGATGAAATCAAAAGTAAAAGTAGGACGATTCACTATTTCCTAACCCGCTTTCTGTGCAAGAAAAGTGAGACCGTTCAAAGCAAGACCGTCGCCTCACATATGATTGAGGGAATTCCAGACTCACTCTAGTAACAACAAAATCTTCGATCCATCAAAGATCTGTTGGTTGGCCCCGGATACAAATATAAAATAATGTGGACCTGACCACCTAGTGAGCCGAGGTGCATACCAAAAGAAGAATTTATCACCAAGATCATCAATCTTCACCGGAGTACGAGATTAAAGGATGTCACTGCTTTCAGCATGCAGTTTCAGAGTTTGTAAATCAGCAGCCCTCGAGGAAAGAACTGGAAAAAAGAGTATTGCAGTAGACTAACACCACCAGATAGGGGTCAACCGTAAAAAGAGATGGAAGTAAAGGGTCGTGAAACTTATTACTGAGGTGGCAGATTTTGGTCCTTTATACAAATTATTCTTCCTTTTTCCTATTATGATGAATAAAGAACGAAGTGCTTCGCCAATCCTACATAAAGAACAATGTGTTATATCCGACCCACTTTATTTTTTTTTACAAAGTATTGAGCCTTTCATTGATGGAAAAGTCTGGGACACCATAAACAACAAAAACTTTGCTTAATGGGAGCTGCCAATAAGAGTGCGTGCATTTACCCGTTAACAAACTACAGGAGAATCCTGACAACTGAACTGCAAAATGTTCAGCGCTGGCACGCCGGGGCACGCACGATTCGCGAGAATGCAGCTTTGGTGATAGGCCCGAATGCAACGCAGAGATCGGCTCACAGGTTAGCCAGTACAAACCAGTATTCTAAAACATTGCAAATAAGAGATGGTAATTAAAGAGAACATTTGTAGAGGAAAACCTTCCTCAGTAGATGCAAGTTAACCTGAACCTTCAGACTAAAGTATAGCTATTACCACTCCGGGCTATTGCAAATTTTCGTTCTTGCGATCGAATTTCTTAGAAAAATGAAAAGTAGACGAAGATGGAAAAAAGCGCCACCATGGCCACTCACCGGACGAGGGGTTTGAGACCGCTGCTGCTCCTTCTCTGTGGCATGATTCAGTTCATCCATATAAACGCCCACTACTTCTTGCAGATACTCTTCCTCGTTAGTGTTCTTCTGACTACGCAATCTTGGGTGCTAAACAAAAGACCGTAATCACTCTTAAGTAAAACCTTCGGAGTTCTGAAAGCATAAAATGAAAAGGATAAGTTTGAAGCTATGTGAACTCAAATGAAACAAGCCCCACACACTCGGACTTATTTGAAGTTGGTTTCTCAGTTTCTGATTGGTTAGGGCGACTTGTTCCAAGGCTTTCTCTCATATTCAAAAGAATCATCAACTCAAGTAATACGTATGAAATTTGGCTCGAAAATATCGATCTTTGAACGAAATCTGAATTTAGCTTTTCTCTATAATTCGAGCAACGAACCCGTATGGCCTTCAAACAAAGGTCTTCATCGAACTCCGATGAGCCTAGAAATGATCGAATATGCTCTATCGTGCACTGCTCTTCCATAGTCGGCCCTCCACCAGTCTAAATGCTTTAGTTAAATTCCTTGCTCAAAGACCCATTCATCAATTACCAAGTGAAATACGATACGCAACAAACCGATACCTCTCGAAAGGTAACCGCTAATGGTGTAACAGGTTTCGCATTATAAGCAGGAGGGGGTGACTTGACAGGCGCAAAGACTGGCGGTTGAGCCTTGTGACTCATTTCATGCACCTTAACAAAATGTTCTTCTCAAGGAAGCAGAGTTACACCCTTCAGACAACTACATGAAGGAATAAATGAACAAATTCGAACACTTTAAGACTCGAAATTTGTGCGTCCAATTAAAATCAATAAAAAACAAGTCAATTATAAAACTACCACAACAATCAACTACAATTAATTGTTAAGGTTTCATTAACCAAAAATATGGACTAACTTAGAGTAAGGTGATCAAGTTACTTTCAAATTCATACGTCGTGCAGTTATGAACTATGCTAACTGAGTATGNACCAGTCTAAATGCTTTAGTTAAACTCTTTGCTCAAAGACCCATTCATCAATTATCAAGTGAAATCCGATACGCAACAAACCGATACCTCTCGAAATGTAACCGCTAATGGTGTAACAGGTTTCGCATTATAAGCAGGAGGGGGTGACTTGACAGGCGCAAAGACTGGCGGTTGAGCCTTGTGACTCATTTCATGCACCTTAACAAATGTTCTTCTCAAGAAAGCAGAGTTAGACCCTTCAGACAATTACTTGAAGGAATAAATGAACAAATTCGAACACTTTAAGACTCGAAATTTGTGCGTCCAATTAAAATCAATAAAAAACAAGTCAATTATAAAACTACCACAACAATCAACTACAATTAATTGTTAAGGTTTCATTAACCAAAAATATGGACTAACTCAGTGTAAGGTGACCAAGTTACTTTCGAATTCATACGTCGTGCAGTTATGAACTATGCTAACTGAGTATGAGTACAAAAGCAAATTATTTACAAACCACACCAAGCGAAAAACTGCTCGTAAGAATCTTGAGAGGTTTTTTTGTGTTGCATCAAACATAGCCAATCTAATGATATAACCAATGCACCTAATACTTTTGTTTCAGAGCCCTAGCCGCCTTTTCCTCCAATTTTCCAAGATGAAGAGTTCGAAAAAAGTAAACAAAAGTAGCGCGAAGATATACGAAGTTAGCAATTTCAAGGGACTATGCTTTATCAAAGGCGGACCGCCCGCGATTGTCTGAAGCCGAGCGCGATTTGCAAACGGAGCACGTAATTCGCCAGCACGACCAGACGGAGCTTCACGTTTGCACCGTTCGTTTTCACCAAACGAGCACTAGAATCTTGTACTCAGCTATTCCTTAACTGCCTCCATTGTGAGCATTTGTATTTGCCGTTGCAACTTCTATTGACAGCAGCACATCATGTCTACTCGGAAAGAAGTTCATCGCAGTATCATTAGCAATTAGAAAAGAAGAGCAAAACAAGAGGAGGAAAAAAAATTATAATAAAATAACAAACAAAATCATCAGAAAACAGGCAGATGAAATAATCAGTTTTGCGGAAGATATACCTCTTTATTAGAATGTTTAGTAAAGAACCAAAGAATCTCCAAGCTTTGCAGAGGCTCCATTATTTCTATTCTTTTCCTTAGATTTTCTTTTTATCATTCTTTCACAGCAACAATTGTCAAAAAAGTGAAGATTCTTCCAGAAAAAGAAGGAACATATGATAACGTAAGGAAACTCACCGTGTGCTGTCAGGTAGGTCAATTTGATGTGGTAGCAGGATCAGGGGCGATATGGAAACGACTTCTGCAAGGCCCCCTTCAAATATGAGTTGGTAAGGATGATAGTGATCGTGGCGAGAACTATCTCTTCACCCAGAAAATACAACAATACGATTCCATGACCTGCTTGATAGTATCCTGAATGACTGCCTCTTAAAACGACAGCTCCGATGGTTTACGCAGCAACCATATAGTTTTGAGCCAATTGCTGCACTACCTCAGTCTGCTCTTCCTTCAAAGGCACAGTTCACGATAATTTTTGGTTGATTCGTTCGAGACGAATAACGACGTAGTACAGAAGAGTGCAAAGTGACGAAAGAAATGAGAAATGGGCGTATTCAGAGAAGTAGAGACTTCAAAAATGTAGTAAAAACAGGGGTTGGACGGGAAAGTGACGACAAAAGTTGAGTGGAAGGTGTACTTAGACGAGCTGTCTATAAACATGCGCCACTGCTTACAGTTGGCTACAGTTAGCTGCCTGCGTGCAACGTAAGAGTCCCGGAGCGAATTGTGCAACCCCACAGCCTCTACAACACTTTGAGAACTCGTCTTTTTCGGGCGTGGCGTCAGCTAAGCCCATCTTGGAGCCTTCATCTAGCTCTAACCCGGGTCTGTTATCTTCTCCCCGAACGGAGCGTCGTGCTCGCCGCACGCGATCGCGCGTTGTGAAGGGGAAGATTCCGATTCCCAGTGGAAGGATACGGAGTTTTGCCGCGGAGTCACCGCCGCAGGCCGTGGGAATTCGGGGAGAAGTTCCGTCACCCGCTCTAACCTTACCTGAACCGGTTGATCCGACAGCGTCCCTTGTGCTACTCTTGGGAGGAGTTGGTTCACACTTAGGAGGAATTTCAGGAACCGTTTTTATCGTGACCGTTGCCTTTGACACTGCGCATACTTCCACGAAAGGGTTGAGCTCCGATTCTATCGTCGTTCATCATGCGAATCGTAGCGCAAGTGGCGCGCCGCGCATCAGATCGTCCTCTCGAGTGCGACACAATGCTTCAGTTTGAATTGCTTTCCCGCACGCGGGTCTTCGAATGCAACTTACTATTTGCTTTTAGAAGGAACAAGGTGGAAGTGAAATAACAGTGCCGAGATTTTTTTCTCATGTAGAAAATAGAGGCGTTAGAAAATAAGGCAGTAAGATCGTGAGTTGTGTTAGATTACCTGTTAGAAGGGCAGAATCGCCGCAGCACCGATGGCGAATTCAAACTTTCGGGCGCGGGAGAAATAATTCAGACGGCAAAACCCGTATATAGTTCAGATGCGTCCATCTCCGGATCTCGGGGGACGCACGATTCGTGCGATTTTGATGCGCGCGGCAAATTGCGCGGCGGAATTTGTGATTATTCGAAGGACTCTGACGCCTACTATTGGAGCACAAACTTGAAGTAGAGTGGATTAGTAGGATCAGCTGACCATACCCAACTATTCTACTTCAAGTTTGTACCCCAATAATAGGCGTCAGAGTCTCTCGAATCATCACGAATTCCGCCGCGCCATTTGCCGCGCGCACCCAGAATCGCACGAATCGGCACACACCCCCGGATCTCTGTGAGCTGCCCTGGGAGGCAGGCACTGAGTCGGTTTCATGTGATGGGTTCGCCGCATGTGGCAGTCGCGGGCTAGTTGTCTCGTTTTGCAGT